TGCATTATTGTCATGTCATTTGGTCAGCTACACTAGGAGACCTTCAGTTTGTTCTGATATAGCATGAATAAATTCACTCTTTCCACCTCATTTTATACCTGTATGTCCCCCCCCCCTTTTTTGGAGGGGGGCAGCTGGCCAGTATAGGACTCGAACCCTGGACCTTTGTTGTTTTCTCTTCTGAAATCCTTTTTTTTTTTTTTTTTGTCTTTTGTCTTTTTCCATGTCCGGCAACGGATCGCAACCCTCAGTGTTGCCCCCGGACCGGACCGGGAACTGGCAGTGGGATCGCAACCCTCGGTGTTGCTCCCGCGCCTCACTCAGCCAGTGAGCGGGAACCAGTCTGGTCTGTATGTGGGATCCGAACCCTCAGGTGGGAGCGCCGCCGTGCTTCCCAAGCGGCGCACTTATCCAGTGCGCCACCGGGCCGGCCCTGAAATCCATTTTGAAAGCTTGCTATTTCTTTATCTACTCTGTAGCTTGAGGGTACAGGATGGGGAAGAGGATAGAGCTCAGCTGCTTGTATGTATGTGACTGCTTTTGTTAGAGGACTTGGGCTTTGGGCTGTGTTCCTCTTTAGATTTTTGTCACATGGCAGGGTTATTTCTACTTTGTCAGGGGGGTATCCTCTTCTGGTGGGTCATACACTTCAACTTTGGGTTTCCCTGTTTTAATGTTGAGATCTAGAAAATACTAAGCCCTGGCAGTTTGGCTAAAATCTTGCAGTGGGTATTTAGGGACTCTCTTCTCCAATTTGTATTCTTTGACTTTTCCTGGGCTTGCTGCCTTCTGCTTTTAGACTGTGAGTTCACAGAATTAGACTGATTTATGTCCTTTCCCCAGCACTGTTTCTTTGGCGTGAGGTTGGGGTTTGAAGCCTATAAAACTAGAAATCTCATTTCTCTTCTTGGATGCCACTTTTTGAACTTTATGTCATAAAATTGGTCATTTTTGCTGGGTTTTTATTGCTTGTTATTATTGTAATAATCATTAAAAATATCTCATTATGAATTAGGAGAGAGAAAGTATGTGATTTGCTTTATTTTGCCTTTTTCCTTATAATAATTTCATGTTTGTTTGATTGCAGAGAATGGAGGGAAGGAACCCCCGACAACACTACTCTGGGTTCAGTATTTCCTGGCACAGCACTTTGATAAACTTGGGCAATATTCTTTGGCTTTGGATTATATTAATGCTACGATTGCTAGCACTCCAACGCTAATAGAATTATACTATATGAAAGCAAAAATTTACAAGGTAAACTCTTAATCATGTTGGTTGAATAGTTGAAGAATTCAGCCACTTTAAGAACCCTTGGAGTTCTTCCTAAGTAGAAATAACTTCTAGAGCACCTGATGATCTTTTTCTAATACTCTAATAATCCTAAGGAGTTTTATGTTATTGTGTAATCAATGTTAGTCATTTGATTCAGCTTATCACTAAATGTGAATTGTTATTATCCAGGTTTCCGGATAAATTTGACAGAAATGATGCCAAATTTCTATTTTATCTTTATATGTTTTTTCATTTATACTGCACGCATAGTCTCTTGATCATGAACTGTGATTTCTTTAATGCTTTCATCTCTTACAGCATATAGGTAATCTCAGGGAAGCTGCAAAGTGGATGGATGAAGCACAGTCTTTGGACACAGCTGATAGATTCATCAATTCCAAATGTGCAAAATATATGCTTCGAGCAAATATGATAAAAGAAGCAGAGGAAATGTGCTCCAAATTCACAAGGGTAGGAAAAGGCATACATGAGCATGTCATTGTCTGAATTAGTCAAATTAGATTTAAGTTCTATGATGATTTGTGAAGTTTACTACAGAAGTTCATAAGAATTCATTTTTGTTATTTTTTTAAAATCCCACTTAGTCTATATCTTAAGTATGGTTTCTTACTGGGGTTGTGTGTGTGTCTGTATGTGCATTTCTGTTGGGATGGTAGGGTTCAACCTCTTCAGTGCCCTTTCCACTGTGTCACAAGTTTGAAGATTAGAAGAGAGTGCAGGAATAGACATAAAAGCAATTCTGTTTTTAGAGGAATGTACCACCTGGAAGGCCAAGGTAGAGATTAAAGAACTAGATACAATTAAAAAGTATACAAAACTTCTTAAGTGAAATAAATAAGTCCAGTGATTTTTAAAACAACCACATCAAGGGTGGAAAATGGCGGCGCGACTGGAGCACCAGTGTCGGGAAACAGCGCGATCCTGAGTGCTGTGTGCTGTGATACCAGAGAAAAACCACAGACAACTAGAATATGTCTTCAAAGGCACAGGAGAATGAGAAGGTGAAAGGAGTTGGTTGTTTAAGGTGAGTAGTCACCAAAATCTGTGGCTCAGACTGCTTGTTGTAATTGCCTGTGGTCACCTGCTTTTGACAAATTGCTGTGCTGTATGCAGAGCCTTGTTCAGTTTGTCCATACTGGTCAGTGGCTGGGCAAATCCATAATGTGTGGTGAATAGCATAGTGAGCCAGGGAAAAAAATTGCTAGTGACCTTGAATAACCCATTTATATCTGCTTGCTAATAAATGAGTGAAGTACTCATATTTCCTTCTTCGAGATTTTTCACAATTTAGAATTTTTGTTTGTAGCGTTGCTAATGCATGTTGGATAGTTTAGCTGGTAAACTTTTTGAAATGAAAAATAAAGTAGATTTCTTATTATAAAAATATGTAGTCATCAAAAAAGTAGAAAATATACACAACTATAAGGAAGAAATAAAGTACATCCTTAATTTTCTTCACCCAGAGATAACCAGCTTTTAGGCTTTTAATGAATCCTGGAAATTGAACTGATAACACAAAATGGGGTAAGAACTAAAGACAGAAATTATTTATATAAATGTACCTTTGCCATCTTTCCTGGGATCATACAAAATATATTTAAAATAAATTTCCTCTAAATTGTGACAGAACTTCAGTGCCCCTGCACTGAAACTAGGTACTTCATGTCTTAGACTCCTCTCAGAATTTTCTTTCAGGCTGAATAATAAAACATTCTTAACAAATTCAGTTATTTGGTTTTGTCAGACCACTGCAAAGAGGAAATAGCAAAGTAGAAGAGTTGCCATGAAACAGGAGATGTTGTTAGAGGCAGACACATGGCCACAAAGGAAGTGTCAACAGATAGCCTAACTTGGAGGAAAGAGACTGGGAAACGGCAAAACAGCCTTGGAACTATTACTAACAGACTCGACAGCATTGCATGTACATAATAGTGACTCTGAGTGAGAAAGGAAAGGCTAAGAAGCTTTTGCTTGAGAGGCAAGAGATAGGCAGTGCTTCATAGGATTTCTGACTTGAATAGTTTAAATAAAAGCTTCGGTGTTTAAAAGCTAAGCTTTAGTAATTTGGAGTCTTTTCTGTGTAGAGTGTTGCATATTCGGCATTTAAAAACTAAGCTTTAGTAATCTGGAGTCTTTTCGGTGTGGAGTGTTGCGTTCCTGGAGAGAGCTGGATAAATAAGACATGTATTAAATTACCAGTAGGAGTCTTTTGGAAGCACATTGATATATTTGCTGATTGCTATTTATCATCATCATTATACTTGTGGCCATAGTTGTAAAAAGGAAAATGAGATTTTTAGGATCTGTTTTATTGTTTGCTCCTGTAGTTATGAATGCTTCCATTTCAGGAAGGAACATCTGCCATGGAAAACTTAAATGAAATGCAGTGTATGTGGTTTCAGACAGAATGCATTTCAGCTTATCAACGTCTGGGGAAATATGGGGATGCCTTGAAAAAATGCCACGAAGTAGAAAGGGTAAGTTGTTAGAATTTTGACTTCAGTTTCTCCTGTAAGGTGACAAGAAAAGCAGGTGGATTTCTACACTGGATCATCTGCCTCTTGTAACTACTTCGGGAGCTTCACTGTGAAAAAAATTCTCGATCTTTAACCTTCCAAACATTCAGAAGTTGTAAACAAATGATTTTTTGATCCTCAAATGGGTATGCTTTTGATATGTTTAAATATTTTTGTCTGAAGGAAGGATGAAGATTAATTTAGTAAACCACTGTTGCTATTATTAACATAAATTCAAAATTTCTGTTCCCTAATCAGGCCATTATTTGATTTCATCAGTAGCCTAGGAGGACACACAGCTGGTGGCAACCTCTTTTCCCTTTAAAACGTCAGGATCTGGTCTGCAGTCAGCCTCTCTCCAGTCTGTCTTCCCAGGATATTTGCTGTCACATTCAGTACTCTGTACAGAAACCTATGGCCATTTCGCAGGCTCATTTTATTACTTGCCTTTAGGATTGTGTGTGTGATGTGCCATAGTGAGGGGACTTTTCTTTTCCTTTGTGTGAATTTTTGTTTTCCTGTTCTTTGTCATCTCTGAAGCACTCTCCTTCCACATGGACCACAGGAGGAAAAGAGCCACAAAGGCACCCCTGAGGCAGTCCTCGGCAGCCCTCAGTTGTGGGGCAATCGGCACCACTGTTCCCATGCTGACGCAGTATAAAACCACAGGCATCGTAGTCAGGTGAGCCTGATGTCTGCACCATGGCAGTCACTTTGGCCTTTTTCCCATGTGAAACTTCTGAGGTTGAAGGCAAAATCTTAGGGGGTGGCTTTTGATGGGAACTGGAACTAGGATTATACCCAAGCCTTTTTAGAAATAACTTAATTTTTGCTTTGTTTTTATTTTATTTATCTTTTTTTTTTTTTTTTTGGACTCTTTTAAACCTGGGCTTGATGGCTATATCTCTGGGGAAAATCCTTCTCATCTTCTCCTTGAAAAATATAAAGCTCGTGGATGATATGTGAAATATCCAAGCATTCTAGTTTAAATCAGGTTCTTATTTCTATAATAAAGCTTGTAGATCACTAGCTTGTTTCACTTTAAAAGCATTCTGCTTGCCATTAAGGAAAGATACATTTTTATTAATCAGGACATTCTCAGTGAGAGGCAGATTGTTTACTGAATGAAGAGGCTGGTAGGCACTTATGGATTAGTAATTCCAGTAAAACCATAACTAGAAACTCAACAAATTTTCTGTGCATGTAAAATTTGAATATCCTTAGGATCATTACAGTCGTGAACTTCTTGAACTTAAGTCCCATTCCTCCTAACATTAATGACTGTATTGCTTTATTTTTAATATTTTTTGAGAATTGTTAGACTATGACAAGTAGATCTTCTACTACTAAGTTTCATTTAGATTATGCTTTCCCTTAAATTTTTAGTGATTTTGGCTAAGTAGCATGACGTAAAATTCTGTAATGCCAAATAAACTACTTGTAGTTCAAGAAGTGATTTCATTGATAGAAAGCATTTTTGAAGAAAAAAATTACAGGAAATCATTGGTTATCAGAAATTAAAACATGGCAGAAATTATCACCCTCTGATCATGTTACATAATTATTATTGCTAGAAACTTTAACTGTCTTTAGGGTTTGCTGTTGGTGTTTGAGGATAGAAAGAAGTAGGACTGGCCAGTTAGCTCAGTTGGTTAGAGCGCAGCCTTGTAAGATTAAGGTTATGGGTTCAGATTCTCATACCTGCCAGTCACCAAAAACCAAACCAAACCAAACCGAAACAAAAAGAATAGAATGAAACAGATAAATAAGAAAGTTTACTCTTACACCACCTGTAAGCTATTTTTATAATGAATATATCCATACTAAAAGTAAATGAGCTTTAACTCTTTTATGGTTGATATGTATATTCTGTATATGTGGTTTTATGTAGAAATGTGACTGTTTAGCACAAATAGGATGACTAAATGTTGACTGACTGATGTTTCTTAAATTAATTTCTAATAAAATTAATATAAAAGTTTTAGTAATATCATTGGAACGATTTAGGAGTAATTACGAAATTCAGAGATTTGTTATAGTAGGTATCTGCATGAGTAACTTTATGCCTGGGTTTTAAAAGTTTTAATAAGGAAATGAAGACCTTTCAAAAATGAAACTTTTCAGTTTAACTTCTAAGTAGGAGGTTAGTGAATTAAGAATAAGTTCAAATAGGAGCTAAATCTTTATTTTACATTCAAGAATTTATTCAAGGGCCGGCCTGTGGCTCACTCGGTAGAGTGCGGTGCTGATAACACCAAGGCCACGGGTTCGGGTCCTATATAGGGATGGCCGGTTTGCTCATTGGGTGAGCGTGGTGCTGACAACACCAAGCCAAGGGTTAAGATCCCCTTACCGGTCATCTTTAAAAAAAAAAAAAAAAAAAAAGAATTTATTCAAGAATTCTTTCATTGAGTAGTTTCAGGCAGGATACATATTGTTGTGAGCAGTTAGTATTAGTACGTTTTTGTCTTCATCTTGCCCCTCCTATAGGATTTTAGGATTATATATAAAAGTTATATAGTCCAACCCAATCTGATGTTTGAAACTTGAGTTTTCTTAAAACAAACAGAGCAACTTTCTTCAAAATGTTGGATATAAACTTGTGTTCAGAATAACATTTAAAACTACTTTATCTTTAAGAATTGAGTTTTCTTTCTTTTCCCTTTTTTGGGGGAGGACTATTAGACTTCACGTGATTGGTTTCTCATTACTTCATTGTGTTGATTTATATTTGAAACAGGGCAACTATATATATTTCTAAGTCTTTGATAAGATCTAGGATTTCTGATAGATCATAATCATAGGAAGTCCATAGCTTTATCTTCTCTTGCATCTTAATCTTTATCAATTGACACGTGCTTTATAGTGACAGATTCTCTATAAAGGATCTCAAGTTGCTTACTCCCTAGTTGATCTATTTATTATTTAAGTTGAGAGATTTTTGTTGCCTTTATATATATAAGCTCTTATTAGTCTCAGGAACTCTGAGAAGTAATGGGCAGGAGAATCTGGGCCAGAAGAGAGGGCCTAATAGGGACGTCATACTCTAAAGCTGTGAATGGCTTTTCTTAATAAGTTGCTCACTTGTCTTATTTTTATTTAAACCTAATTTTGACAGCTTAAGCAGTTCCTGCCAGCATTACCCACTCTCCCCACCACCACTAGCACCACCAAAAAAAAAAAAAAAAAAAAATTGGTTAGAATATAGCCTATAACCCTGAGGTCATGGGTTCAGATCCCCATATTGGCCAGCCAGAAAAAGAGAGAGAGAGAGAGAGAGGACTAGTGTCTTAAGGTGAGGGGGAAAGAACTAAAGACGTCAGGTGTATATTAAGATTTGGATACTTAGTTTTCTGTAGTGAGCTGGTAAGTGACCTTTTTACTTACCTAAAAAGTGCAGGGAAACTAACTTTATCTGTTTGTGTTATCTGGTGTATTTATGTTTTATAAATTTGGAGACTAAAATATCAATCCAAGATAGTACAAGACAGAGCTTTGTGGTGATGAAATTAGTTTTTTTTTTTCTTTTTTTCTTTTTTGTCTTTTTTACTGACCGGCAACGGGATCGCAACCCTCGGTGTTGCGCTCGCACTGCGCTCAGCCAGTGAGCGGAAACCAGTCTCCATATGGGATCCGAACCCTCGGCGGGAGCGCCGCCACGCTCCCAAGCGGTGCACTCTCCAGTGCGCCACCGGGCCGGCCCATGAAATTAGTTTTTTTATCTTGATTGTGGGAGTGGTAATGTGAATCTGCACATAATAAAATCACATAGAACTGTAAACACATTGTATTGATGTCACTTTGGTATTGAAATTTTACTGCAGTTTTATAGGCTGTAACCTTTGGGGGAAACTGAGGGAAGGGTATACAGGACCTCTGCCTACTACCGTTGCAACTTTGTATTATAATTATTACAAAACTGAAACTTAAAAAGTAAAACAAGATCAACCGAAGGTTATTTAATTGTTCCTATGTACTATTCTGCAATACATTGTTTCTTCCAAAAGCAAGAATATTTATAAGCCATAGCTGCAGTGTCCTACTTTTTCTAATTTAATCTAGCCATATTCTCTCTACCACCATTAGCTTAATATAGAGTGATTAACCACCCAGCTTTGCCTGGCGGCGCAGTACCCAAGACACAATGCTTTCCGTGGAAAAACTGGGAAAGCCTCTGGCAAACTGGGATAAGTTGGTCACCCTATTTATGGAAGACATTAACTGGAGAGAGGCAGCCTATGGGCTGTTACTGATAAAGAGGTGGCTTAAATGTTTGTGGTTCCAAACCGCTCCCTCCAAGACTTGACTTAAAATCTATGTCTACTAATGCTGCTAAGAATATCTCTTAAAGCTTGTCATGTGCCTTTTTATACATTTCTCAGCCTAAAAAAGTCCTATAATCTCTTAGATGTTTTCATTTCATTATATGTTCCATGACAGCACAGCTATTTTTCCTCAGTCAATTGTATTGAACTTTAAGATATTCTTATGGTGCTAGATATAATTTGATTTTACATAAAGGAAAACCACTAACAACTTTATGTAATCCTTCGATTTTTTTGAAAAACAAGCTTGTTATTATTTGTGAGTTAATTTGTCATATTGGCAGGAAGAATGTAGTTTTTAAATATAACATTAAAGCATGATTTTTTATTAATAAGTATAAATGTGAAATGTTCCTTGCCAATCATACTGTGTACTTTTATTCTTAGGATTCTTCTCTTAAAGTCTTAGGTACTTAATGTAATTCTGTGTACTGTGTTCCTAATTACCAAGAAGACTAAAATTATCAAATCCCCTAGAGAGAACGTGAAGTAGTAAAAAAAAGTTTGATCTATATTGGTGTATTGAATCATTAATTTTCCTATATGATTTTTGGGAAGCTAAAGTAGGGGAAAAGAAAGAAGTGAAAGAAATGCATGTATGGAAGAAAATAAAAGAATAAAATAATAAAATTGTTTGGTGGAGGGTAGAGGGTTAGGGTTCTCCTTTGCATGTAAGGGACTAGTTCTTAACCTTTTGGGGGCCATGGACCCTTTGAAAATTGCATGAAAGCTTTGAGCTCTCTACGTAGGAAGAAGTTATTATGCTTATTTATACATAATGCCAGATTAAGAACTTCTCCTAAAATGGAATATAGGTAGGTTAATAGGAGCTTGTTGAGTAAGAGAAAACCATAATGTTTGGCATTTGTATAGCAGTGACTGTTTAGAATGAACTTTAAAATATGCTCTTATTTAATCCTTTAACAACCTTAAGAAATTGGCTGTGTAGATTTATTCCCAACTTTGATCAAACAATTAATGCTCTAGAAAATTAGAAGACTTACTTAAGGTCACATGCCTGATGGAGCAGCTTATCTCTTGAGATGGTAAATGCTGTGCTTAGTGTTTGTCTGCTGTGTGCAGGCAGTGGGATAGAAATGATAAGCCTTGTTCTTGAAGAGCTCAGAGTTGAGTAGAGCAGTCTTCTGACTGGTAAACATTTAGTGTGAACTTACATATATTTAGTCTTCAGCCCGATTATTTGGCTTATCACCTAGAAGTTCAGTATCATCACAAGATATGATTTATAGGGAATGGAGATGGATTGGAGGAAGAGGAACTTCAAGTTGAATGCAAAAACTTAATATCCTTTGCAGTGTTAAACACGGGCAAGGGCAACAAAGTGAAATTATGAGTTTAAATTGTTTTGGGGCTTTTTAGGATTTTATTTTAAAAGGTAGACATTACTGACATAAATTTAAGGGATAATTTTGTGGTTTTGTTTTTAAGCATTTTTTTGAGATAACCGATAATCAATTTGACTTCCACACATACTGCATGAGAAAGATGACCCTTCGTGCCTATGTTGACCTTTTGAGATTAGAAGATATACTCAGAAGACATGCCTTTTATTTCAAGGCTGCTAGATCAGCGATTGAAATATACTTGAAATTATATGATAATCCCTTAATCAATGAAAGCAAACAACAAGAAATAAATTCAGGTAAATTAAAAGGAACTTGCTTTAAAAGGTTTGAGAAGAACACTAAGTTTCAGATATCATTAATAAACAATACATAGAAAAGTATATTGTCAAATGGATGGGAAGAAAACATTAAATAACTGATATACCAGGGGAAGAAAAAAAAAAGTCAGAGGGGGAAGAGACAAAAAAAGTCAGTGGACTGATGTTCCGTAGCTGGTGCTTCTAAATGACCCTAATGGAATGACTTGCAATCTTTCTTGTTTTTATCTTCAGAAGGGCCAGTTCAAGGAAGAATACAAGTGTCTTTGGGCTGGTTTCCTTTTCTTTTTCTTTTTAATTGTAACTGAATATAGCTTTGAGTCCCTAAGGTAAAAATATGTCCTCTTAAAACTTCTGGTACCTTCTCTATTAAAAAGAATGCCAGTGAGACTATTTGTACAGCTTTTTATTAACTAGAATGTTAATATCTAGAAATATTTGAGAGATATATTTGAGAGAGAGCATCATGAAGGCAAATTTCTAAGCTTTCATTTCTAATACTTATGTAGTGTTTAGGGATCACAGGTGTGTTTAAAATGCATTATCTCACTTATCCTTGAAATATTCTAAGAGGGTAGTTGGTGATATCACCCCGTCAGTTTGGGACTTGAGACTGAGAATGAAGAAGTGATTTGCCTAAAGTCATGTATTGTATAGGATGCAGAACTGGGCTACGATTGGTTAATTTTAGTTAATCCAACAGTTACTGGTTACCTTTGTGTGCCAGGTTTTATGCTAGTCACTGGGAATACACTTTCTAAAAACTTTTGTATAGTTGCTCTGCCCCACCCCTAAAGCCATACTATACTTAAGAAGTATAAGGCTGGCCTGTTAGCTCAGCTGGTGAGAGCACAGTGTTATAACACCAAGGTCAAGGATTTGGATCCCTCTACTGGCCAGCCACCAAAAAGAAAAAAAGGAAAAAAAAAAAAAACTTTAAAAAAAAAAGTATATACTTAAGTGTATACTATACTTAAGAATATGAGGAAAAATACAGACTCAAAAAAAAAAAAACTTAAAAAAAAAGTATATACTTAAGTGTATACTATACTTAAGAATATGAGGAAAAATACAGACTCAGTAGGATTTTTATTATTTGAATGTGTATAGAAAGCATGTCAGCCAAAGAATTGAAGAAAATGCTTAGCAAGCAGAGAAGAGCTCAGAAAAAGGCTAAATTAGAAGAAAGCAAGCATGCGGAAAGGGAACGTCAACAAAAAAATCAAAAGAAAAAAAGAGATGAAGAAAAAGAAGAAGCCAGTGGTCTTAAGGAAGAAGAAAGCAAGCATGCGGAAAGGGAACGTCAACAAAAAAAATCAAAAGAAAAAAAGAGATGAAGAAAAAGAAGAAGCCAGTGGTCTTAAGGAAGAACTTATACCTGAAAAATTAGAAAAGGTGAGATGAATTTATTGTCCTTGTTATTTGGTAAAATTTGTCCTGTTTGATTCTATTCTGGCCATAAACATGATTTATTTAAATCTATGAATTAGAAACCATTTGCAGTATGCAGTATTTCAAGGTCATTATGATGGCCATCAGTTATCTTTGAGTAACAATATGCAAGTTTTGCTAAAGCAAATTATACAGAGAACTGTAGTTGTGGTAGAGTAATGGCCCTCAAAAGATTTCTGTGTTCTAATCCCCAGAACCTGTTGAATAGGTGACCTTACATGGCAGAGGGGAATTAAGATGGCAGATGGAAGTTAAGGTTTGTAATTAGTTGACCTCAAGATAGGGAGATTAGCCTGGATTATCCATGTGGCCCAGTATTATTGAAGGTGTCTTAAAAGTGAAGGAGGAAGTCAGAATTAGTCAGATAATGCAATGTGAGAAGGATGCAATCTGCTTTTGCTGGCTTAAAGATGGAAAGAGGGGGCTACAAACCAAGGAATGCTGGAAGCTGGAAAAGGCATTGAAACATTCTCTCCTAGAGCCTCCAAAAGGAATGCAGTCCTGCTGATATCTTGGTTTTATTTAGCCCTGTGCACGGCAGACTCATTTTGGAATTTTAACCTACTGAAGTGCAAGATAATAAGTTTGTGTTGTTTTAAGCCACTAAATTTTTGGTAGTTTGTTACAGCAGCAATACAGTTGTCTATTAAATATGGAATCATTTTATGTCTTACTAGATATGTTTTGGCTACAAAGAGAGATAGCATTTCGTCTCCAGGATTTTCTGTAAGAGTTAATATTTTGGAACCAGATTTAGGGAAATATTTAGCTTTCTGGTTTATTCACTGTAAATCTAGTATAAGTACTTTAAGTGTGTCTTTACTTTTTTTCCAATTATGTGATGCTATTATATTTGTCCCCTTACTTTAGATGTTTGTGGTATATAAGGGACTGTCAGTACTTGGTGTACCATCTCCTTAAGTCTGTGGAATAGCTTTACGTATTTTGGGGGATTTTTATAAAGTTATCTTGATTTTATAATCAGAAAAATAATAGTTATTTCTATTTTGAAAATTATTGACTGTGTACTTTGAATTTATTTACAGATGATAGTTCTCAATGTTTTCTTGCTTGTTTGGTTATATTAATAAAGAAAACTGTCTAAATTTGATATGTGTTAATATAAATTTTAGGGGAAATTTGACTTGTGTAGCTGTTTTTAAATGTAAGAATTTTCCTTTCTGTTTCAAAATAGGTAGAAAATCCATTAGAAGAAGCCATCAAGTTCCTTATACCTCTTAAGAACCTTGTTGCTGATAACATTGACACTCATCTATTAGCATTTGAAATATATTTTAGAAAAGGTAAATAAATAGTTTGAGTTCAGTTTTTAATCCTTATTTATATTGGTGACTATATTCAGTGTAATCTCTGTCAATTAGATCTATTTTTGTTTCTTAGATTTACATTTCAGCCTTCTGCAAAAGCTCTTAATCTCTTTTCCTTTGCTACTTAAAACTTTGCTAGATAATAAATTAGAATATTATGATCCAATCCAGTTTAAGAATAATTTTTTTTTTCCTTTTTTGTCTTTTTTTACTGACTGGTAACGGGATCGCAACCCTTGGTATCGTGCCCATACCGGGGACTGGCAACGGGATCGCAACCCTCGGTGTTGTGCCCGCACCGCGNTACTGACTGGTAACGGGATCGCAACCCTCGGTATCGTGCCCGTACCGGGGACTGGCAACGGGATCGCAACCCTCGGTGTTGTACCCGCACCGCGCTCAACCAGTGAGCGGGAACCGGTCTCCACATGGGATCCGAACCCTTGGCGGGAGCGCCTCCGCGCTCCCAAGCGGCGCACTCTCCAGTGCGCCACCAGGCCGGCCCCAGTTTAAGAATAATTTGAACAATCATACAAATTGTTTAACTGAACCAATTCTTCATGATTTTTTAAGCTTTTCTTTGAAAAGCAAAAGTTGTCTTTGATAACCAAAGTCAGCTTTGAATTTTGCTTACAAAGGTTATAAAAAAGGTAACATTTTGTTATTGAATTTAAGTGAAGCTAAAGAAAGTGAAAATATACATAACTATTGATGCTGTTATTTATTTATTTATTTTTCTACCACAGGAAAGTTTCTGTTAATGCTGCAGTCTGTCAAACGAGCTTTTGCCATCAATGGTAATAACCCACGGTTACATGAATGTTTAATTAAATTTTCTAAATCTGGTAAGCATAAAAAAGGTAATTTTTATATGAAGCTAATATGAGAAGCAAATATGAACTGTTTTTCTTTAAGGTTGACATTGAAGAGATTTGCAGCAATGTAAAATAAAAACAAAAAGGTAATGTTAATAGTATTTAAATGAAGATGTATCTGTAAATTAAACCTGTTGGCCAAGAGGTGCTAGAAATTAGTGCATTTTTACGCTAGAATATATTTATATTGCAAAGTAGCAGTAATATTTTTATTATGTAAACTATATCAAGCTTTAATAATAAATGTAAAGGTTTTCCAATTGATTTTTTTTCCAAAGGACAGATTAACAACAAAAAATCCAAATGTTTTTGTTTTTATAGTGTCTAATCATAGTAATCTTCCAGACATTGTGAGCAGAGTTCTATCTAAAGAAATGCAGAAAATATTTGTCAACAAGGATTTGGAAAGTTTTAATGAGGACTTTCTCAAACATAATGGTGTCTCTCTTCAGCATCTGCTTTCAGGTTTGTATTTAGTTCCCAGGGTTAATATGTTTAGGGAAAAAATTTAGAATGTGGTGGTAAGTAAACAAACATTTGAAAAAGTGTGTAACCTCACTAATTATCAGAGAAAAAGAAATGTACACCGTACCATTTTGATCTTTCACATTAGAAGAATGGGAACAAATTTAATGTATGTCTAATAATAGGGGAAACAGTGGTAGATTCATAGGATGGTATATGAGTTATTCACTTAAAGCTATCTTTATTCAAAGGTTTTGTTAACAGAGGTAATTACTTTTATAATAGGTACGCAGAATTGAACATACAGTATAATCTCAGCGATGTAAAAATATGCATGGTAAAAGCTTTAATGTTGTTTTTGGATGTTGTGGCTATGAGTGATTTACTTTTTCTTATATTTTTATTGCTTTATGTATTTTCTTATATTTTTGGCTGAAATGCTGATTGATTCCACAGGGCAGCCCATATTTACATTTTGAATTATATCATTTCTAAGAGGAGGAAGTTGTTAAATCAGTGTTGTTCTGGTATATGTTTAATAATCTTCTCTTTGTGAAGGAAAAAGTCCTGATCTGTAGTGTTTTGTCATGTTATAAGTACTCCCACTGTCACCCCAAGCTATCAGTGGGATGCTACTGAATAGGAATTTGGGAAGAGATGTCCTAGTTGGCACCCAAGGGTTGGCGGGAGCCAGCTCCAGTCCGCCACTGATTACACACTTGAAACCATATTTTAAGTCACTCATCAATATAAATAAGATAAAATGTAAGACAGGATTTTACTCATTTTGAAATGCCTTGGTATTTCAGGTGCTAAAATGATGTATTTTCTGGACAAATCAAAGCAAGAGAAAGCAATTGCGATAGCAACTAGACTGGATGAAACTATAAAAGATAAAAATGTGAAGGTAAGATTTTTCATAGGCTGATTTATGGATACTGAGTGATCTAACCAAATGTGTCTTTACACCATAATAATTTTTTGTGTGTGTGTGTGTGTGTGTGGCTGGCTGGTATGGGGATCTGAACCCTTGACCATGGTGTTATAACACCACGATCTAACTAGGTGAGCTAATTGGCCAGTCATTTACAACATAATTCTTAAGTGGGCCTTTAAGGTTATGCCTGGATATAAATCTCAGCTCTACCAATTATGAGCTGCTTGACTTTAGGCAGGTTATAGGTTACCTCTTTTAGCTTTCTTTTCCTGATTTTGAAGATGAATATGAAAATATTGCCTATCTCACAGAGTTGGTGTTTAAGAGTTAACTGAAATAATAAAATGTGAAGTGCTTATTAGTGCCTGGCACATAGTAAGCACCCAGTAAATGTGAGCTATTGTTATTAATAAAGGACACTTTCATTTTTAGTGATCACAATTTTAAAGGTTCTCTTTTTCAAATATTAGAATTTTACTGCAGTTTTTTTTTTTTTTTTGTCTTTTTTCGTGTCCTGCAACGGATCGCAACCCTCA